TATCTCACTTTTGGCAGAGAAGCAAGACTTCCCATTGATCTGACCTTTGGTATTTCCGACAGTGTCAAACGTTCCCATAATGAGTATGCTACAATAATACAATCATCTTTGGCGTATGCCTATGAGATGGTTCGGAATACATTAGGCGAAGTACAATTACGTCATCAAGTTCTGTATGATCGAAGAATACATGGCCAGCCATTTAATCCTGGGGATAGAGTGTGGCTTTATTCAACTGTGATCCCAAAGGATGGACATCGTAAATTGCACTACCCCTGGACTGGCCCATATCTCATCCTGGAGCGACTATCTGATGTTAATTATAAAATTCAGAGTGTCAGTAATCCACCACGCATTGTCATCGTTCATTTTGATAGATTGAAGTTATGTGTACCTAGGACCAGATTTCAGAGGGAGACCCTTCCATCTCTGCCCATGGACAATACCAGACCACCACAGAATGTTGGTGATTATGCGGAGCTTGTTGAGAATGAGGACCCTCCGGTTCCCAACAATCAGGCTCCACCCCATGCCACTCCTCCATCTCCCCCTCCTCGTTATCCCCGTCGTACCCATCGCCCACCGGACTGGCTCATATTACACTGATTTTATTGTTGTTTTTTTTTTCCTTTTTTTTTTGTGAGGGGGAGGTGATGTAATGTGTGTGGGTGTGCACTTGTGTTACTATATATAACTGTGAGAGAATAACTAATTTTAGAGAGAAAACCACATGTGTTAGTCGATGATTATTACTTTTTGTGATATACTGATTGTTGATTTTGCTGTTGTTTGGATTTAGATAAGACATAATTATTACAGGAAGAACATTGGTAGAGAAAGCAGGGCCTTTGTGAAGCAGTATTCTTCCAACAGTCAACTGGAAGCAATGATAAATTGGAGTCAGCATTAAGTTTCTGTTACCACAGCTGTCAGTTGCAACTAAATTAAATAGTGCTTGAAAGGAGGAAATACAGAAGAATCGACATTACTTCAAGGGCATCATATGTTTACTGCTTCACAAAAGATTGCATTTTGTGGTCACGGAGAAGCGTCATCATCTAATCTGGGCAATTTTTAGAGCTAGTCAAACTACTAGCTATATACGATCCTATTATTAAAGACTGACTTGTGGCCGTCAGAATGTCCAATACACGTCCCACATCATTCAAAATCAGCTGTTTCATGTTCTGGCTCAAAATGTTAAACAACAAAGTTGCAACCAAGGTAAGTCCGCTGGGGTTTTCAGCATAACGGCCAACAAGACAAAAGATGCTTGTAAATTGAAATTGATGAGTTTTGCTGTTTCTTACGTCATAGAGACTGGACACAGACAGGGATTGGAAACTCCTCCTTGAGAGCAATTATTACTTAGATAGGCTAGTTTGCAAAGAATTAAACAGTTTAGCCCGTTTCCTGTAGTTATTACAGTTAGTACAAGAAAAATGGGTATCAGTGAAGAAAATTTTAGGTATACATTTTTTTACATCCTAATAGTGGGACATGAGAATATCATTTAGTGTATAATGAAATGTTCGAGAAAGCTGTTACTTCAGTCGTAACAGATACTGCATGGGTATAATGTGTCAGATTTGGGACAGAAGGCGCAATTTGACACTTCTCAATTACTTGAATGGATCACAGATTCAAAAGAAGAGGTAATGTCAATTGCTACTGACCTAATGACAAAACGTCAGCAATGCACGACACGTCCCAGAAAAGTTACTTTACATACTTTGAAGGAAAGAATGACAGAATTACTATAGGCTTAGGGCATCAAATGAGTTTAGAGAAAGCTAGAAGGATATTATACAAAGGACAGTTGGATTTAGGGCTTGTCCTATTTAGTATCAGTATGTAAAATGATGGAAGGTGTGGTTAGAAACACATTTGTCAATTAGAGAACCACTACCAATGAATCTCTTCAGAGTCGTCTTGACAATGAAGGAGTGAATTCCCTTAATTATACAGCAAGTTATGTTGTACATGCCATAGCTAAAGATATATTACACTTAAGTGTACCTAACAAGACTGAACTGTTAGTATGCCTAGGGCAAATGATAAAAGGTAAGGCTAAAACTTAAATTTGTATAAAAGGAAAAATTGTAAATGTAATTGATGTAGTTTTACAGTAAGTTTTGTTGTTCAGCAGCAAACCAATAATAAATAATTGTTCATTTTATATAGGCAATGACACTGAGTGTACTGAGCTTCAGTGTGCACAGTGGACGAAGATCCTTGATCGTGATGGTTTGATTGCGTGACTGATGTAACCTGTTTTTTTATTGCTGTTACGGAACTAGTGTTTTGTCAGAACTTTGATATTACTTCTGCGGCTCAACTAAAGGCAAGCTTTCATGACAATTTAATGGCAGATGAAGATTATTGGTCATTGGTATAGACCAGTAAACTGCTGTCACTTATTTCAAAGAAGTGGATGACTATTAGAGGATTCTTATCAGCTAGTGCAGTTGTTGAGATATATATGCAGTTAACTAAGAAAACTGTACAAAAGTAAAAAGGAATTGAGAAAAAACCTAATTAATGGTCATAGTAATTTAAATGAATGGTTGATGTGTTAATCAAAATAAATTCTTGTTATGCTTTCTTTTGTTTGGTATTGACAGAGTCAGTTTCACATACTTTTTTAATACTTTTACTCCCCCTGCAATTCCCCCTAACTGGTATTCGGCAAAATGAGTTCATGACACAAAGTGCTTTAGTTTTTTTTGATGTCTTGGACAGATGGGTTGCTTCCATGTTGTCCCTGGTATCAAAAAAATATTCCAGAAAGTCTTGACATATCCTGTTACTGAGAAATGACATTTTTGTATCCTTAACTTCTAAGATAGAAAATAAGAATGGAACGAAGTAAATGAAGAATGTAGTTATAAACGAATAATTATATCAGACTAACATACCTATAAAATCCTAAGCAGCAGGGTAGCCAAACCTATTTTGATCTCTGGGGCGAAGAAGAGAAACAATTGGCGCGTGAAGGGCGCCGAAAAATTTCTACGCTGTTAATGATTTTATGATGGGTGTGGTCAATTAATCCACTGGAAAATGGCTGCTTTTGAGTAGAATTTGTATGAGATCGCTGGTTTTTGTGATAGATCTCACAAAGTACTATTGCTAAACAATCAAAATCAAGGAAAGAAGTCATACTCTTGCAGAGCAGTGTTCAATAATCTCTGGTAAACAATTGATCATTGATATTTCAACTGTCTAATTATTTCACCTGGGATCTGATATCCGGGACCAGGCCCGGGTGTAGCTACGCTACTGATCCAAAGACCAAGAAGTGTTTCTGCACTTAGTAACATTTTTTCCAGTTTCAGTACAGTCATTACGAGCCTTAACACTTTTTTCACCTTCATCAAGGTACTTTAGAAATTCAGTTTTCAACCACTATATATTATTATTATTATTATTATTATTATTATACTTTACAGCACAGAACAGAAATTAGTGACAAATAAAATTAAAGATGAATAATTGTTTTCTGAGCTGAAGGAAAACAGTGAATGACACTGTAGACCATAAGAATAAAAAGAAAACTAAAATTACAAATACATTAAATTATAGGGAGATTAGACAGGGAGAAGAGGAGAAAGAGAGAGAGGGAAAGAGAATAAATAACTAAGAAACAATAAAAATAAATAAATAACTAAATGATGGATAGCTCATACTATAAAGATCAGAATTATCGCCGCATTACAGACTGACATGAGTGATGA